GTCCTCGGGCCTGGGGAAACCAGCTAATAGATAATATGGGGGGTGGGGGGAGTTGCATTTCAAAGTAATTTTCTTCATGATAAAAATGTTTTAATGACTATAATTTTATTCTCTTGTTGCAGATAAAAGTCTTTAGTATATTGTAATAAACTGTGTTCAAGTTGGAAAATTTTGTATTATATATAGTACAAATAAGAATAAACAGTTTAGGGAAAACATGGTAAGATTTTTCCCCTTCGGTAGTTCTATTTTCACAAAATAAGAAATAGATGTATCACAAGATGACCCTGAGAATCCCAGAAGCAGAAAATAGTCTAAATATAAACCTAGCCAGGCCTTTTCAAAGCCTTAAATTGTTATTCTTTTGCTAGTCTAATGAAGTTGAAATGTGCATGGGATTTGGAGCCAGGCAAAGGAAAAGTCAAATCCCCACTTTTCTACTGATTATCTGTGTGATCTTGGACACTGCCTAACCTCTCTGAACCCTCAGGTGTCTACATTATAAAATCAGAATAAGAAAACTTACAACACACAGGGTTGTTGTGAGGATGAAATAAAATTAACAAGATGATGTACATAAATTATTTAGCATAATGCTTTGCAGCCCCAAGTAAGTGTGTGATATTAACAGTAGATAGATATTATTGCTGATACTTCTGGTGTTATTATTATGAGTTTACTATAATGCAAATACACTGGATTTAATCAGGAGACCTATGTTTGAGTCCCGGATGAGCCAGCAGTAAGGGTCTCTATTTCCTCACCTACAAATGGCAATATCATGATGATAACAATGTCTGCTTTGCCTAAATCACAAGATCATGAAGAGCTTCAAAAGTAATATATGTGCAAACTAGAAACTCATAAACAAATTAAAGGTATTTCCACCCCATTCCCAGAGCATATGCCCAAATGAAAGAACTCAAGTCTAAGGCCATTTGCTTCCACTGCATGCGCCATGAATAGGACACGGCTCACTCTACTGGCACAAGGGAAAAAGCAATACATATAGCTTTTCAGTAATGGTGACATATTGTGAGTCTGCTCTTCACAGTTAATAGATCATGTATGTCGTACTGTTATGAAGGTAAATCTTGCAAATATCTAATAGTACGTATGTAATCCAACTCAAATTTAAAATGTGACCCTCTACTAAAAAAATGTGAACATAGACTATTTCCGCTACTAAATCATGCAGTAGAGTCATAAGTTTACTAATAATAGCATACTACAAATATTGATAGGAGAGCAACATCCTTTTTAAAAATAATCACAAAACTGGGTGGGATGCAGTCAAAGAAAAGACAAAATTCTTTAAATTGCTGGGCAATGTCTGATTGAATTTGGAAGAATGCCAAAGACTAGTTAATTTTACATTCTGCACTTGAATTATAAGAAGTCTGGAGATCCTAAGTTTGCTTGTGTGAGAAATTACAGAAGGCCCATCCAGAGCTCAGTGGTGGATGGATAGATTGGAGGCCAGTGGACACTGCAGCTCTAATCTTCACCAGTTTAAACCCCACCCCTCTCCTAGGACACGAGCCAAGTAAAAATTATTTCTTCTCAACATGTAGAAGAGGACAGATGAAATTTAAATATTTTCCTCCACCTGTAGCTGATATCTGGCAATTTCAAGAGCAAAAATTTGGGTTGCAGGAAAGGCAGCCTCAGGAAAGTACAACAAGTAAACTGTGAAGAGAGTTAAAGTATATTTTTATCTGTGCATAATTAGTCTACATATTATTCCTGTTGATTTCCTTGTTATCTTTTTTCCCCCTCACCCTGGAACTGAAGACTATGAACAGGATGTTGTGGAGATGGGGACAGAATCCAAGGCGGCGCCACTGCTAATACTATTTACCCAACATCATTATGATGATTGGTCAGAAAAAAAAGGTAGAGGAGGATTGTGGTGCAAGGACAGCTCTGGTCTTGAGATCTGAAAGCAAAAGAAGGCTTTAGGACTCACGACGTACACGGTACGACTCGCCCAGCCCCAGCTCCTCACACAGCCCTGTGCGCACATGGAATAGGATTTGGCAGAATAGCATCGTCTGTGATTTTTCTGCTCGGCTATCAACTTGCATTCTCTGCTTTTTCTCTCTGTCACTAGTAATTATACCTTCTGGTATGCTTTGGTGCAAATCTTCCTCAAAAATGCTAAAGCACATAATTATACATTAAAAAGGGTAAATTCCTATGAGGAGTTCAAAATAGTGGAGGTAACGTATCTGTGTTTGCTGGAAAGAAAGGCTTAGCTAACCTCAGAGAGAATATAACAGAGTGATAACTCTTTTAAAGTAGTTCAAAGATCTGTTTAGTTTCTGTGATTTTTGACATTGAAAATGAATATCTAAAATATTTATAAGTGAGACTGGTTTTTATTTTGAAAAAGATAAAACAGAATATAGCAAAAAGAATAAGGGCAAATGGATGTACTGGTTTCTATAATTCTGCAATAAATAAACACTGTTCCTTGGAAAATAGTTAAAAAAAAAAAAAA